GAGTGGTGGTTTCATTAGGATCTGTGGAGACAAAGGAAAATTTGTCCTTGGAGGCAAAGAGGGGGAAGGATGAGAGTATGTTTTTCCAAGCCCTTTTTGGGTGTGAGGGATGGGTGATGAAAGTTGCAGCGGGAGAAGGGTGGAGGCAGTGAAAATGTCATGTTGAGGGCAATGTGTGGTTTGGAATATAATGCAGAGAATTTGTAGTTTGGAAGTTAGGGTAGGTGCGGGATTACCAAAATATTGTCCGAGGGGGTGAGGAAAGGGGTTTTTGAGGGGGTTTTGGAAGTAGAGGAAGGAGCGAAACAGAATGACTTCAAGATGTATCAGTTGTAGTGGAAGGAAAGGGGGGGTAGGGGTCGGCCCAGGAAAGGTTGGAGAGGGGGGTAAAGGGGTTTTTTGTGCGAGGGGCTTGGACTTCCCGAGGCATGCGTGAGCGTGTTTGTGGAGTGGGGAAAGGGGAAAAAGGTTTTTTAATATTGACGTGCTGTTGGAGTGTGGCAAAGAACTTTTATGAAGGGGTTCGGGGAAAACCCGGCGGCCGGACTTGAGCCCTGGAGATGGGAGTAAGTGCCTGACTTAAAGGGAGGGGTGTTAATGTTGCAGTTTAAAAACTGTAGTGTAAGCACCCTTTGGCAAGACGTGTGGAGTGAATGTGGTGAAAGTTTTTCTTTTTTGGGCCCCCCTCCCCGGTGGGAATCGGCCAGTGTGATAAATAATATAATAAAATAACGGGGTGAATGGGGGGAAATGGGGCAGGTGTATGGTATAGGAGGTAGGTTACTAAAACAGGAAGATTTTACGAGGATAGTGGGGCTCAGGTTAGGTATGGGGGAAAAAGGGAAATTATTTCCAAGTAAAAGTGGGCCCTTAAAAAAGGATGTGTGATGTCACCGTGGTTGTTCAATATATTTATAGATGGGGTTGTAAAAGAAGTGAATGCTAGGGGTTTTGGGAAGGGTGTGGGGAATTAAAAAAATAAAGAATCAAACACAAAATGGGGAGTTGTCCAGTTGCTCTTTCTGAGACGTGATTTTGGGAGATTCTGAAGAGAAGTTGCAGAGGTTGGTGGATGAATTTGGGGTAGGGTATGTAAAAAAAGAAAATTGAAAGTGAATAAGGAAAGAAAAAAGGTTATTGGATAACAAAAGATTAGGTGACGAAAAAAACTGGATTCAGATTTTGGGGGGAAGGAGTATGTAGGGGTGAAATTTTTAGATACAGGGGACCCCCGGTAAGAACGCTTGATAAAGTTAAATTGCCCCAAAAAAGGGTTTGAGCATAAAAAAATTTTTGGCCTGGCAACGATAAAAAAAAAAGCCCAACTGATTCGTCCCCAACCTGACCGTCCCGCCCGAGAGCCTCAGCTGCCCTGCCGTTGTTGTTTTTCAAGCAGGTGGCCCGTTTCATGCATACATTTGTACTTTTGTATTATTCCATTGTTTTAGTGCTTGTAACTGCTAAAAAAGCCCCATGGGGCCAAAGAAAGCCCTGTGCCAACCCTGTGGTAAAAAGTGTGAGAAAAAACTATGAAATACTTCATACCCCGGTCACAGCTGCTGCACCCCCGTCGCTGTACTACCGAATATGTGGTTTTTTATTATAAACAAAAGAAACGCTAAACCCAAAGGGCTATACAGCGCTGAGGGGGAGGAAGGAAACGAGGGCATCAGGTCCAAAAGGGAGATGGATGAGCAACAGTTACGGATAAAGCGGGGCAAAGGTGATGGTAAAGGGAA